TACCAAAAAATGGAAGATAAAGGCATTTACTGCAAAGTTTATTTCAGAGAAGTACATAGAGCATTTTAGAGCTGACTAAGGCATGAATCTTAGAAATTTTTCTAGGATTGTACAAAAAGAGTGGAACATGACCCCTAGTAGGACAAAATTGCAAAGGGCAAGAAGGTTGGCTATGAAGAAAATACATGGGGATGAAGAAGCTCAATATAGGTTGTTATGGGACTATGGCAATGAGATTAGGAAAAGTAACCCTGGAAGCACATTCTTTGTGACCCTTGATAAGAACTCCAGGTTTGAGAAGTGTTACTTTGCTCTGGATGCTTGCAAGAGAGGATTTTTAGAGGGGTGCAGACCTATAATCTTTCTGGATGGATGTCACATCAAGACAAGATATAAGGGCCAGATACTAGCAGCAGTGGGTATAGACCCAAATGACTGTATCTTCCCTATAGCAATTGCAGTTGTAGAAGTGGAAGATACACCTAACTGGTCATGGTTTTTGGAAACATTGAAGAGGGATCTAGGGATTTACAACACATATCCATGGACACTCATGTCAGACAAACAGAAGGTATTCATCTTCTTTGCCACACTATTCTGGTTCCCAACTGTAAGGCTATGTAGTTCATAACTTTGCTGACATTGTGATGTCTACAGGGCCTAATAAATGCAGTGAATGAGCAATTCCATGATGCTGAGCATAGTTCTGTGTTAGGCACATGTGGCAAAATTTCCAACAAACTTTTAAGGGTGATGTGCTGAAGAACCAGATGTGGAAGATTGCTAGAAGCACAACAGCAACTAAGTATGAAGAAAACATGGAGGAGATGAAGACAATCAGTCCAGAAGCATATGTGTGGTTAGCAAAGCATAGCCTAATACTTGGGTTAGGGCTTTTCAGAGTGATATACCTAAATGTGACATACTTCTCAATAACATTTGTGAGGTTTTTAACAAGTAAGCATCAGACACTATTGTTCATCTTTGCTTTCAAATACTTGGTTCATTTTGGTGCTTTACAATTGTTACTTAACAAATGTTGGTTCTTATTGTTTCTTCAAGTACATCTTAGATGCAAGGGAACTGCCAATTATCTCAATGTTTGAGACAATCAAGGCTCAGATCATGAGCAGGCACTACTCAAAGAAGAAAGAGGCTGCCAAAATGACAGGGAAATCTGCCCAAAGATAAAAAAGAGGGTGCAAACAAACAGTGAGTATGCAAGCTTGTGCTATGTTGGTGGAGCAGGTGATGGTGTATTCCAAGTGCATGAAAGGGGTACAGATTATATTGCTGACACTATCTGCCAATCATGCTCATGCAAGAGGTGGGATCTAAGTGGGGTGCCTTGCTCTCATGTGTTAGCCTATTGCAGAGATGATAGGATAGATGCTGACACTATGGTGAATGATTGCTACTCAATTTCCATGTTTAAGAAGGCCTACAAGTACATCACATACCCTACAAGAGATATGAAAGAATGGGAAAAGATGAATGGCCCAACCCTTGAGCCACCACTATATTTAAAACAAGTAGGTAGGCCAAGCAAGAATGGAAGAAAAGCACCATATGAAGTTAATGACAGAAGTGGTGGTAAGAAAATGTCAAGGCATGGGGTAATTATGCATTATAGTTACTGTGGTGAGCCTGACCACAACATCAATGGATGTAAATATTTGAAGAATGGCTTGCTACCACCTAATGCCCAAGTGAATGCTGCTGCTGGAGATGCACATGAAGAGCAAGCAAATGCAGTGAATGGAGATTCACATGAAGAGCAAGCAAATGCAGTGAATGGAGATGCACATGCAGAGCAAGCAAATGCAGTGAATGGAGATGCACATGTAGAGCAACCAAATGCAGTGAATGGAGATGCACATGCAGAGCAACCAAATGTTGCTGGAGATGCACATGCAGAGCAACCAAATGCTCATTATCAGCCTACTGTGACACCATCAAACATTGTAATCAGACTTGTGGATACAATGCTTCAACAGGTAATTGAAGAAACTGAACTTTCTTATTTACTACACTGTACTGCACTACAATGTACTGACTGAATTGCAATGCAGAGGCCAACTACAAGGCATAGGGCAGAGATGCCAATCCCTGAGTCCACATTTCTAACTACTGCTCAAGCTAGGATCAGTCAGGAGCAAGGTGGATCAAGCTCTAACTCCATCATGTAGGGAGAATTGGCTAAACAATTAAGGGCCATGAAGATGCAGAGAAGCTTGGAAGCTGAAAATAAAAAGAGAGCAGTGTTTGAAGCTAGGCAGCTGGCAGAGCTCAAGAAGCTTGAAGCAAGTGCAAAGAAGAAGGAAGATCTTGCAAAGAAGAAGGCAAAAGAGGCAGAAGCAAGGAGGTTGCTTGCAGAAGAGAGGAAGGAGAAAAAAAGGCAGGAGAGAGAGCTGAATAAGCAAGTACAGGCTGAAACAAGAAATATCATAGCTGAGGCCAAGAGAGCATCTGTTGCTGAGATTAAAGCCAAGCTAAATGCACAGAAGAAGGAGGCTATAGCTGCTGCAAGGAAACAAGCACTAGCTTCCCTGGAGAGAGCAAGACAAAATGAAGAGAGGAAGTTGCTCATTGCTGCTGCAAAAAGCGCTTCACAAGCTGCTGATGCAGTCAGTTCTGAAATAGTTGGTGCATCCAGTTCAGGAGCTACTACAGAAGCAAGAGGTGTGAAGAGGCCCAACCCTGTTACAGGATCACTAACTCAGACATCAATGGCAGTGTAGTCAGCTAAGATTGCAAAAACAAGCTCCATGTTTGATGTTTTCAGGTGATTGTGCTCTGTTGGTTACTGTGCTACAAGATGTGTCCATGGCAGGAAATTTTGATTGCTACAGAACATGACTGAAACTTTTATTGCTTTTGTCTACTGTGCATGATCCAGCATGTTTCATACTTCATTTCCTTTACAGAACCATGTTCCTAGACTCTACTTTGTTTAAAACATGTGGTTGTGTTGGTTGTCATGGATTATGTGTTACAGAACCATCTTATGGATTATGTATTTCACATTAAGTCAATCTTTCAATCTTTTATGGATTATGGATTATGTATTTCACATTATGTAATGATCATGTAAAAGATGCAATCTTTCAATCTTTTATGGCCAATGTACTTCACATTAAGTCAAGAATATGGAGAACAAGTCATCCTATGCACATTGACAGAAATATTTCATGAGTTACTCATAATTGATCCAAGTACATAGCCATTACACAGAAGAAAGATGCCTTGCATCACTTCTACATCTTAACCCAGGTCCAACTACATAGCCATTACACAAAAGAAGATGCATTGCATCACTACATCAGCTTAACCACTATTTAACAGTAGCTACAAGCTCTAACATAGTTGCAACAACAGCAACACTACATAATTTTAGAATTAGCACAACAAGGAGCCCACATAGAACAACACCTACAGCCACTACAATCTTCAGAAACAATAGTAACTGTGCTCCAAGCTCTAACATTCTTGCATTGTTGGACATCCCAAACTCTGTAATTGGTCCTCTTGCCCACTGTTCAACAGCAGCACTTTCATGTCCACGCTCTAGCTCCTCCCTCCTGTCCTCACTCCAGCCAATAGCATCGACGGCAGCATTTCCTCTCAGGAATTTATGTTCCACAAGATAAGCGACGTACTCACGCTCCCAATGCCAAAATTTGCAACCACGCTATCAAATGTGAAATAAAGGCATGAGAAGAAATGCATCTGGGCGGCCATCTCTGCATAAATGTAAGTGGGGGAAAGGACTTACATCATGGTTGATGCATCTATAGAAAACCCAGCCATTGTGTTCATCCGTACCAGAGATGTAGCGCTTCACCGTCACCCCACAGTCCGGACAGCCGATCCGGGGGATCATGGGGCCGCGGCAGCGCTGAGCAGAGCGGGAATAGCTTGAAGACATGGCGCAAAAGAAACGCCGTCCAACGGCGGCGGCGCGGCGACGGCGCGGCGGCGACGCGGCGGAGGTCACGGCGAGCTGAGTGGAGAGCGCTAGGGTTCGTCGCAACGGAGTGGGGAATTTTGCAGCACGAGGCGGAGAGAAGAGGGGGTGAAGTTATGTGGCAATTTTGCAAAAGAATCCTTGTATAGATAACAAACTAACACCCACCTCCTACGTGGACAAGTGGACTGGTCAAAAAGCGCCACGAGGGCAAAATACGTACGTAATATGAGTGAAAAACATAGCCAGTGACCAAATGAGCCCGTTCACTCAAGTACAATTACCGTAATGAGTTAATCTTTGAATACATTGACCAGAGTGACCAGCCTTAACAAGTTTAGTGACCCAGAGTGCATTTTACTCCTCTTTTAAAGACGGAGGGAGTAGCAGACATATGGTGGAGCATCGAACAACAAATAGACGGAGTCATTCAGAGCAAATGATCATGAAGAATGTGCACAACATCGTCGTCGTGCCCACGTATGCTCCCCAACACAGAAATGCGAGCTGGAGGTCAGAGAGAGGGCGCTCTCCATTGGGGACCTTTTGGGTTATTATTTACTACTCCCTCTGTCCGAGAAAAGTTGTCACCAGCATAGTGTACTGCCAATTTTGCAAAAATGCCCTCGTAGCTTGAAATCTGTTACAAACAGGTGGCCGTCTCCTTCCTTCTTCCTCTGCCCGTCGCCCGCGCGCATCGCCAGGGTCAGTCATCGCCAGGACCTGCACCGGCGCCACCCAGGGCTTTCTCCTCCACTGTCCAGGACCCGCGCCGCCCAATTAATTGCTCCATCGCCGCCCAATTGCTTGCCCCTGCACCGCCCAGGACGGGCTCCTCCGCCGCCCAATTTCTTGCTCTACCATCGCCCAGGACGTGCTCCTCCCCCACCCAGGACATGCGCCGCTGATATCCCCTCCCGCCACCCACGACCTGCACTACCGCCGCCTAGGACCTGCGCACGCCGGGTCTCGAGCGCCTGGACCTCGAGCTCCCTCAAGCTCTCTCGTTGGCCTGGAACTCAAGCTCGATCTTTTATTTGCTGCTCCTCTGAAAGTTGGTGCTCCTCCCCTGCTCGTGTTGCCGCCCGAAGCTCCCCGGCTCATGTGCTTTCAGCAGAGGTCCCCTGCCCGTGCTGCTGCCGGTGAGAAGAAGTACAAGGCTCCTTGCTTTTTCATCTCCAGTTCCAGATCTGTACCTTGCTCCCAGTATCTCCTCTGCAAGCACTCCGAGAAGAAGTACAGGGCTCGGCCCTGTACCCTGCTCAAGCTCTTACTTGTGCTGCTGTCGATGAGAAAATGTGCTCCAGAAGCCCCAATTTCGAACACAATTTCTTTACATTGCAGCGTGTACCTTGCTTGCTCTGTAATTCGAAACACAATTGATCATGTCCTCTGAAGAAATGTTACAAAAAAAAAGTTCAGTTAACTGTTATGGTCTAAAATGGGAGAAGGAAAACATCTCTGGAATCATTGATGGTCTGTAGCATTTTCAGCAATTATAAGTGTTCTGCCAATTTCTGTAATGTTCACTATGACATGGAGTGTTAAGTACTGTCAATTTTGTTTCTGTAGTTCCAATTAGAACATTACAGTGGACTATTGTCAATTTTTGTAATGATGATGGAACAATATTTAGTTGCCATGATTGAAATTTCTGTTTCTGAACTGTCAATTTATCAACATTTATGTTCATGTCTGATGGGACAATCTTTAGTACTGCCAAAAAGAAATTGTTGTTAATGATGACAGTGGAGTATAATGATGACAGAACATTAAGATAAGATTGATTTTGATTTGGCATTATAACTGAAATTTCTATGCAAGTTCTATGCAAGATTGATGACATAACATTAAGATAAGATAAGATAAGATAAAAAAATTGGAGTACGGTTCTATGCAAGTTACATGTTCAAAATTGAGATGTGTGGACTAAATCAAACTGAATCAAACTGGACAAGAAGCAATGAAGGAAATTACTGGAGTAGATCAATATACTGGTATATCCATGATGTTGAACAGAGGGTAGTACCCGAGCACAATATAGCAAACTGAATCAAACTGAATTTCAGTAGATCAAATTGCAGTACATCAAACTGAAATGTAGAGCATAGTGTTTCATGAGTAGTTTAAGTGAATGATCCGGTTTTATTTTCAATAAATAATGGCCAAGTTTATTTTCAGTAAATGTAGAGCAAATTGAATCAACCATGATTCATCAAATAATGGTTTATTTTCAGATTATATGCATGAGTAGTTTAAATTTAATGGTACAACACTGAATTTCTGCTGCTGAATGTTGACAGTACAATATACTCCGAAGTTTAATTTCTGCTACTGAATATTGACAATACACCAGTATTCAGTTTATAAAAACAACAATATATTCTCTGAAGTTGCTTTCTTCAGTCAATTTTACCCGATGTTGTCAAAGTGAAAATCCATCCCTGGATATAATTAAGGTGCAAACATCAGTACAATTCCTATAGAAGCTAAAAGTGGGTGTCAAACTTCTAATTTGCACATGTTTGTTTTATGGTCTGCTGCTTGCCCCTGATGTGCCAGTCAGCAATGCAACATTGAGCCCTCACTTCAGTACATGAAAATTTACTGTCAATTTTCAACAATGCAACATAAAAGATCAAAAATCAGACCTGCCAGTAGTAAAAGATCAAAATTACTGAATTTTGACTTCAGTAGTTACTGGTTTCTCATTGACATTGATCAAGATTACTGAATTTGTTTTCAGTTTTCACAATTTTGACATTGACTAAGATTACTAAAGAAAACAAAAAAGCTCGGGCAGTAGCTAAATTTTCCCTACTCTGGTGCACCATAATTTTCCATATTCATTGAGCAAAATTCAGTCCAAATCTGTCAGTATAAATAAACTTCAGCTCAAAACTATAGCATGAACTTGGGTACAACTTCAACAAAGAACTAGAGCATGAACTTGAGCTTACTCTGGATCTGAAGCTCCGGCGAGCTCTGGACTTGAGCACGTGGAGGTGTTGTGGATGCCTTGAGCGCGTAGTGCCCCAGCGATCTCGGCGGTGAGCTCCTCCACCTTGACCACCCGTGCTTCCCAGTGCTTGGGTCGACGACGTCCATGGAGGGGGCGAGCTTCGTGGTCGACGGCGAGAAGGTGGTCTGGCGAGGGGGCCAACAGGGGTCGCCGGAGTCTAGGTCGACGGGTAGTTGGTAGGTGCCGGCTAAGGCGAGGAGGGAGGAGCGGAGATGGGCAGGCGGGAGGGGGGAGCGCCACGGCGAGGAGAAGAGGCCGGGTCGACGAGGCGACAGACGAAGGTGGGAGCACTCGAGGAGGCGGCTAACAGAGGAGGTAGACATGGACGGCGGGTGCCTTGGCCAGGGGCCCTCGAGGATGGATGCCTTGCTAGGCCGCCCCACAAAAATCCAACCTTCGGGCAAAATTCCAAGCTTCAAACGAGGCATGGGGAAAGAAGGTGGCACCGGCGTGGGCGAGGGATGGGGAGGGATCAAGGGGAGGCAGGGAGGGTCGAGGCGGCGCCGCGTCATGGCGTCCCCGGCGAGCAAGCGATGAAAGAACGGGGGAGCGAGGGGAAGAATGGGCGATGTGGAGTGTGGATTGTGTCGGGGGAAGCTGTCGGTATTTTCTGCAAAATGTACACGGTGACAAGTTTTCCCGGACAGAGGGAGCACTTTATAAACTTCACCTTATTTACAAGGTTGGGGGGCAATCACCCCCCTCCCCCTCCCCGCGCCCCACACCCATAAATTTGCCACTATTTATAGTTTTACTGTGAGATGGCCCAATATTGGACAATGAGTAGTTCATACTCATGAGGGCACTCATTGACTCCGCCCCTGTGTGTGGGCATCGTGAGCGTTACTAGTATGATTGTAGAGACGAAGCTTCAACGGACTAGATTACCCATCTAAACTCCACACGATGCAAGAATGAACAGTGCTATCTACCTCTGCTCTAACGCATGGACGGCTTGATGTGTAGGGTCGTGCATAGATCGCCCAAAATTAGCCGTGTGTGTAGCAACTCTCAAAGCGAAAGTATCCTTCTCAGCTCGAGCTCAAATGAGCTCGGTGAACAGTAAAATAAAAGAAAATCAAAAAAAATTCTGATTTTTTATAAACTTTGACCAATGTTCTAAGTGTTTGCAAATTTTTATCATGAGATCACATTTGTGGAAGGTGTGGCTATAAAATAAAATAAGTGCTCCAAAATGTTTTCGAACGTAGCATTTTTGGAGCATCGATCTATTTTTCTTGCCACGGTTTACACGAATATGATCTCAGATGAAAATTTAGAAGCACTTAAAACATTTATCAAAATTTACCACAAAAAATATTTAAATTTTTGTCTCTTCTTTGATTTTGCTGTTACCCGAGCTCTCCGTGTCCCACTCAGAGAGGAAAATTTAGGACAGTAAAACTGAACCAAATCCCTGCCCTCTCACGCGCTCATCCATTTCAAACATCGAATCTCACGTTAGGATCATTTCTGGTCGTTTGATGTGCTTTCTGTTCCGGCCTAAACAGCTTGTATTTTTTTCGTGGCCCAGTTGTCCTAAAGGGCTGCTACTCCGGTAGAAAAATCCGAAACATGTGGTTGCTGGGGCCTTTTCCTTGTCCTTTTTGGCTGACCTTTATGGCGAGTAGACATGAAAGCCACACTATGGACAAAAAAGAAAATGAAAGCCACACTAATTCCAATTGCAAATGGCTGGCCGTTGACGGTGCAAATATTTTTATCGCATTGCATTGATTAGGCCGTCACGCGTACGAACGGTGATCGTCTGCTCGGAGGTGCACTGCATTGGTACACATTCTTGTGTGTTTTGCGGACGAATGAATGTACGTTACTTCTGAAGATAGCATTTTCAAACTGATTTTCTCTACGGCATAGCAGTTTCTGATCATATCCTCTCTTGTATTTACAGTTTATTTACTCTCTTTGTATCCACTGCCGTGGGCGCGTATGTCGTCGATCGTGCTCCCTTCCTAGCTTCCCCTTCCCGTCGCGCCATGTCGACAAACTAGCTGATCCACCTAAAATCAACACACCAAGACTCCAGTAGGTCAGCCTTCAAGGGTTTGATGAGCAAGGCAATGTGTTGGCTAGGTGTTGAAGCCGAAACCCCTACGTATATGAGACCATATTGAATTGCATTTCATGCATCTAAGCAGTTCACCTTAATTCTCAATCGAAAAAGTGCTCCCTCTGTCCCATAATATAAGAACGTTTTTGTCACTACACTAGTGCCAAAAACGTTCTTATATTATGAGACGGAGGGAGTAACTCGGAATAGGGGATATGTCGACATCCATAGTTTAGCCACCGGAAAGAAATGTAGGTGGGGTGACATTTTGAGGAATCCGGAAATACACTTTTGCCCCTCCCACTTATTACTACAGGTGCTTCTTTTGTTATGCAAGAGAGAGTAGCTTCTTTTGTTATCCCTTGTCACTAAAGCACTTGTTTGTCACGCAAAATAATGCATACTGGAGTAGCCTTTTTTTTTTGAAGCGACAAAATAATGTAGCCGGTACTACTACATGTGTGCGCATCATCAGCGCTACTGTACTATGATTGTGGGGAAGATTGACATGGAAGCCACACTAATTTGCAAGTGTGCCGGCCATCAATTGCATCAAATCAATCTCTAGCTACCGTTGACCTACGGTGCCCATGTTTCAGTGCATTGCATTGCATTAGTTAGGCCGTCACGCGTACGAACGGTGGTCGTCTGCTCGGAGGTACACATCTTATTCTTGTGTTTTGCGTACGAATGTACGTTGCGTCTCAAGATTTTTGATTTTGTCCACGGCATCGCGTATCTCTGTCCTGTATCACGTGCCCACGGATCATATCCTCTACTGCGTCTACAACTCTTATTTAGAGCAACTCCAATAAGCGACCCATTTCGTCCGCCATCATCTGTTTGGATCGACGTGGATAAAAAAGGAGGCCCAACACTTCGACCCAAACCCAAATCGAGTTCGCTTCGCGTCCGCGCCGACGCACTTGCGGCCCAAATTTGCGCCTCACCTGACGGTCGTTCAACTGCCCGCGGTAAGCCTGGTCAGCTTAATTTATGACCACGGGCACCACGCGTCAGCGACGGCGGTCGTCCTTTTTTAAGCCGACCGTGCGGCGGGGCCATCCTCATCCGCTTCCAGCCAGCCCCGTTCCCATCTAGACACACTCTGCTGCCCTTCGGCGGCAAACCCTAGCCACCACAGCGAAGGTAGATGGGGCTCTTCCCCGGCGCCGGCAGCAACAAGTCGAAGGGCAAGGCCCCCGCCATCCTTCTCCTCCGAGTTCCTCCTGCCTCCGCCGGCGCCAGCTCGTCGGCCGAGGCAGCGCATCAGCGTGCCAGTGCACCAGGCGGAGTGGCACTGGCAGCACCGCGTGCCTCTCCCGTACCCCGACGCCACCCTGCGGCACGACTGGCACCTGGATCCGGAGAGGATCCCAGTGCTGGCGGCGCCACGGTCGACTAGGGCGCACGTGGTGGAGGTGCGGCATCGGCGGGCGCTCCTAACGACGGAGCAGCGCCGCGATCCTGCCTACGCAGCCGACTCGCCCAACTGGGCTCGATGGTTCGCCTTCGAGCATGAGGAGGCGAGGCGACACGGCGTTCACGAAGTCGACCGCAGCATGCCGCCGCCCCCCGCTCGTCGTCCTCAAGGAGGACCAGGAGGGGAAGGCCGCCTACCAGGCGGCTATTGCGGCGGTCTTCCGGGAGAGCGAGGAGGACGAGCGGCGCAGGCTGGTGGCGAACGAGGAAGAGGAGGCGGCGTACGAGGCGGCCAGGGTGCAGGCCATGGCCCTCTCAGTGGCGGGCGACTGCATCGTGCCGCCGGTGGCCCCGCCGTCCCCTGCGAAAGCCGAGCCGGAGCCGGAGCCGTCCCCCATCGAGTGCTACTCCTGGACGGGAGTAGTGCATGAGTGGGTGAGCGCGCCGCCGGTCTGGATGGGGGCGACGCCGGCGCAGGGGGCGGCGTACCTCGAACAATGGCGCCAGTGACGGCTGGCCGAGGAGCGCCGCCACGGCGAATACCTCGAGATGCTCGAGCGCGACGCCAAGGCCGAGCAGCGCGAGGCTGAGGAGGAGACTCGCCAGGCCGCGGCGGCACAGCCCCACCCCACCCCCCTGCCGCGGCACAGCCCTCGCCCGACAAGAACGCCCTCTGGAACACGACGTTCCCGTGGGCCGGCCCTGTGCCGACGCTCATCGATCTCACGGACCCCGAGGACGACGCCGATAACGCGTAGGGTAGCGCGCCACCTCGTAGTTTAGTTTGTTTTAAATTTTCATTAGTGCAAATATGGACGCGTGGACTTTGGCCGGCCTTCCTGGCCGGCTTTAATGTTTAATTAATATTTTTTTTTATTTTAGAAATGTTTTTTCTTTTTTTCTCGCGCCGTTAAAATGTGTCGGGTTGGTGTTGAGCGCATGCGCCAACCCAAACACGAAAGTGGACGTTCGTGTTCGCCTGACTGACCCAAACAAACAAAAAACGGATAAAATCATCATCCGTCTGGGACGGCCCGTTGGAGTTGCTCTTACTCTTTTTGTATCCACGGCCGCACATGCGTGTGTGTGCGTATGTCGTCCGGCCACTTGGCGCCGCCCGTGGCGGCCGTGCATGGCTGGCTGCCTTGGCCGGCCGGGGATCGCCGCCGTCGACACACGTCGCCGTCGATCCCGCTCCCTGGCTGGCTTTCCGTAAAGTGGTGCCCTGTCGTCTTTTCCCTGTGAACCAACCAAAAGGACATGTGTGGTGCGTCGCCGCCGCGCGTTGCGCCTACAATATTGTAGGACGCCGTCGAGTCGATTACACAACGAAAGCAAGTATCGTCCAACCACACGGACTAGCAGCAGCAATTAAGCGTGCACAATCACCGTGTACTTTATGTAAACTGAGCAGCAACAGATTGCTCTCACGGATTAATGGCCACTGGTAGAATTAGCTCTCAGGAGTGTACAAACTCTGTTGTAAGAGATCGGGAAGAAGAAAACGTAAAAGAAAAATAATTGAAAAGAGGTGTTCTCACTCACCACCACACGCTGCCGTTCACACCTCACCACGATGGCTCGATCGCCGGT